ATGCGTATTCGAGCATATGTGTAGAGTGGAAATATCATACGTAGGGTGTCCCAAAAGTACCGGGACTGGTTCTGTAACTTCAAAATTAAGATAGATACAGACATGATTTTGGTCTCATTTTAAAGATCAACTCAATACCTATCGATTAAAACCAAGATCAGCTCAATCGAATAAAAATTGACCGAGTTATGACAATTTGAAATTAGTGAGGAAAGTTTACCCCTACGGTTTTTAGGAAGATTTTTCGCTTACCAGGATTTAAAAAGTTAATATTCGTATCCACTTTCCTCCGAATCTTCCATAACTTCCTTTTGCTTTTCAAAGTACCGTCCATCAAACCGGATGCACTTTTTCATGCGCTCTTGCCACTTATCCAACATTGTTTTCCTGAATTATTCCTCTGGGATGGAGTTGAAGAAGTTTTGAATTGCATTCTGGATTTCGGTCTTCGATACGAATCTTCGTCCGCGAAGCTCCTTTTTAAGCGTGGGAAACATCCAAAAATCACATGGAGCCAAGTCAGCGCTATAAGGGGGATGAGGGATTGTTTCAACTCCATTTTTACTCATAAATTCACGTGTTAAGCTCGATGTGTGAGGCTGCGCATTGTTTTGATGGAGTATCCACGGAGCTTTCAAGTCCGACGGTTTCCGGGAAATGTGCATTCTCAACTCCTTTACTACTTTGCAATAATACGCACTGTCAACTGTTGTGTTTGATGGTACAAAATGTTGATAAATGACACCTCGAAAATAAAAAAACACAAAACGCAATAGTGTATTTCCTTCGGAAAATACACTAATAAGCATCACTTTATCGGCCGACTTTTCGATTTACGGCGATGAAGAATCTTCCTTAAAAATCGTAGGCGTAAACTTTCCTCGCTGATTTCAAATTGCCATAACTCGGTCAATTTTTATCCGATTGAGCTGATCTTGGTTTTAATCGATAGGTATTGAGTTGATCTTTAAAATGAAATCAAGATCATGTCTGTATCTATCTTACTTTCGAAGTTACAGAACAAGTCCCGGTGCTTTTGGGACACCTTACGTATACTTTACGCCGAAAAAGCGAACCTGAAACTTAAATGCGTTAACTTCCGAAAACCATATATAATTCAACGAAAATAAATAATTGGTACATAACAGCTTTCTTGTATGCAAAGAAAATAATTAAAAATGTTAAAAAAGAGATGTCAACACAAAATTACATAGCCCCTTCAATTCAGAAGATACTACAAACGAACTGTACCTTAACATTTTCATATCCCAGAAGCTAACGTTCCCATGACGAATATTGCTATCGCTAGCGATTGCAAAATCCAACTTGTTTTTTTTTCCAGTGTGAATCGGAATTCTTGCTTTGTTCAATTCTTAAATAAACGGTTCAGCTATCGGTCTTTAAAAGTTTACACTATCGAGTTATAAAAATAACGAGCGGAAGCAGCAAGTGGAACGAGATAAAGAAGTCATGGAAAGTGGGTGAAGTTGAATGGGATTCGCGAGTCGCGTCGCAATTTTCCGGCGAACTGGTTTATAAAACGTGACATTATTTTTATTGAATCTCGCGGGAGTGCGAGGGGTCTCGAAGACCGAGGCCGCGTCAGGAGCCAGGCAACCGAGCTGGTGCCGCGTGATAAGAGCTGTATTTTCGCGTCAGGATCTGAAAATCCCGTGTCAGAGGTGGGCTACGGGTCGCTGCGGAATGGGGAAGGTTTTTCTTTCCTGTCGAAACAGCGTTGCCGCACAGTGGTTCGAGTCAATCAGAGAGGTCAGACTTGAAATTTTCAACTGAAATTGCAAATTTTGAGGTTTATTCGCCATATTTTAAATTTCAAGGGGTGCCGCTAGAGGAAAATTTCATGAAAAAACCAATGGAACCACTTTTAGAACCTTAGAGTTCTTCTTCTTCTTCTTCTTCCTCTTCCTCTTCTTCTTCTTCTTCTTCTTCCTCTTCCTCTTCTTCTTCTTCTTCTTCCTCTTCTTCTTCTGTTGGTTTACTGGCTTATATTCCGTACGTGGAACCTACAGCCATCAATAGACAAAATTTCATACTTGGTATTCAAGGAAATGTAGGGGTAAGGAAATGATTAGATGATAGGGTAATTTGCTTATTCTAGCCATCACCATTTTCAAGCTTAAACCTCAAAGTTTCGTGTAAACGGAGATGGAAGCGTTTTAAGTTTCCAAATTTTGTCCGACCTCTCGTTTTGACTCGATCCACTGTGTGCCGGCGTAGAAGTAACCCTGTCGTAGGTGAGAGGCACAGAAAACGCCCCACACTGAAGAGAAAAAGGTGAGCTCTCCACCAATGAAACATTTTAGGAAAGACAGTCTTCCTAGACAAGGGACTATGAGACTACAGTTCATTGGAATAGATGTATATTGACGTCATTTGCACCAGGGTTGGGGAGCAACTTGAGCAATTTTATCAAAAAGGATTTTTTTTTCAATCGGAAATATCCGCCAAAACTTACTAATGTTTCATTAAATCCTAATCGGGAACGGTTACGGAGTTGTAAATTTTGGAAAGATCGGAAATTGGAGACTCTCAGTAATCATTTGTATTGGAAATCGAGAAAAAGTGTCAATTTTTGCGATCAAATACAGTGGACCATACTAACCGGTGTAAACCAAGAACAAAATTCCCTTCCAAGCAATTATTGATGCATCCTGTCGTCAGTAGTTCTTATTATATTCCTCAAATTTCTCTCTTTCATTTTATTTCTTTTTTTTGGGGGGGGGGGAGAGGGGGCAAACTTTATTTTGTTACCAAGTTTTTAAAAAAATAAATGATTAAGAAATTAATAATTAAGATTTCAAGAGGAGCCAAATTTTCGTTGCAGTTTTTTTACTCGGACTCGACAACGCCGGGCGGTGCATCGACATCATTAATACTGCGTACGTGCGTCTAATGCGCTTTTCACCCGGAATTGATCGCTTTCAGCCCATAACTCACCCGCGACCAACACCCCCCGCCCCCTCCCCCGTTGAATCCGGCTGCAGCGGCTGAAGCCCCTTCCCGTCCGCTTCTTCGGATTCCGGCCGCGGCCGGGCAGGAAAATAAATTTCTCGGCCCAATTGTCGAGATTCGATCCCGTTCTCTGCGCTGTTGTCAACCGGTTTACTGCAGTGTTGTCTCTTTTTTCAATAAATCAGTCGCTGTGATGACCCGCAGGGTTCCAATACAATGTAGGGACGCAATGCCATATTGCCATGATTCCACTCACACTTACACTTAGCCGCACAGTAGTGGCAAGGGTGTCTACGAGTCCGGAAAGTCCGGAAGTAGTACTGATTTTTTAAGAGCGGTCTGGAAGTACTGAAAAAGTGCGGAAATTCTGTAATATGGTCCGGAATTATTTCATTTTTTGTCCTTTTATGTCATTTTTATCGCATTTTGAGCGAGAAATTCAAATTTTTGAAATTTATCGAATTTCGTCAATTGGAGGTACTAAATAAATACCGAATTTTTTCTATTGAGGAGGTACTGAATTTCTTGGGAATGTACTGAAAAAGTACTGTAAAAGTACTGATTTTGGTCAGCCTGTTATAGTAGACACCCTGGTGGCAGGAAAGTTGCATGAATATGCCATAAGCTTACGATCACCTACATATTTTCACACGATATAAGATGATGCGTTATGAAATGCAACTTTGTCAATTTTTACCATTTCAATTCAAAGTCTTCTAAGTCCCTTTTTTCCACTCTCTTTCAATTTTTATGCCCGCACGAAGAGAACATAAACTGTGAGTCATTCTGAACATTTCCTCGGAAAAGTTGTGGAAGACAAAGGGGGATGATAACACGAGGTGAAGTCTAATGTTCTTACTCCTCCTCCATATATTTTATGAAACTGGCCGTACAGAGTACAGAAGTCCTGAAAAATCAATGCATTTCCATATTTATTATTCCATGTGTGATTTATTTTCCCGAATTTCAATTTCTTAACTCTCGTAGACACTCTGAAAACTTATTTTTTTCCTCTTTAGTTTTATTCATAAAGGGGGAATAGGAACTGGTGGCAATTTCCGATTTTTTTACACCGTGAATTTGGTGGTTACTATACACGAAAAAGACAACTTAGCACTGAGCCCTAACACTTTAGGTAAAATAGCGCCAACTCTAGGCGATAGGGCTGGTAGGGCTCAGCACTTCTGCCTATAGTTGGCGGTATTTTACCTAAAGTGTTAGGGCTCAGTGCTAAGTTGTCTTTTTCGTGTATGACGTCAGAATTCCAACAGATTAAAAAAATCAAAATTTGGCAAATGAACCCTTAACGTCCGTTGTTTTGTCATAATTCAATGTATTACAAGTTTAAAAACTTATTGAAGTATGACTTTCCCCCAAGCCACACCATTCTCGAGAAATCGATGACAAAAATGGTTTTGTACTCACTCGTGCCATCAAAAAAGATCCAGAATGCCTGAATCACAATTTCCTTTTTTCTCCACCATTGGAAAAAAACCCACATTGGATCTAGAGTCCAGACTCTTGAAAACATCGACAAGAAAAAATACTCTTGATTCAATCGGATTTTGCTTGAATCAAAAGGAAATCCGCTCAAATTAAGAGGCTTGGTTCTTGATTTAAACAACAATCCGATTGAATCAAGAGTATTTTTTCCTGTCGATGTTTTTAAGTGTCTGGACTCTAGATCCAATGTGTTTTTTTTTTCCAGTGCAGTTTCACCGCTGTGATACCGTTAACAGGGAACAACCCCAGCAAAAATGCTATCTCGAGGTAGGACCGATTCGTTTCATTTCTCCGCCGAGGCCGGATCAAAGTGTTTTCGCACGTTCTTTTCGTGGAAAATGCGGAGACCCGCGGCTGCTAAAACCTTTTTAACGGGACACGGACGCCGTGACCCTCGCACCGCACGGCCAATAACCGCCGGAGTGTACGGCGGGAGGAACCGGAAACGGAGGCCGCCGTACGTGACGCCGTGACGCGGCGATGGAGTGGGAGTGGCGTCTAACGAATCGTTCTTTTTGTTTCAGGTGACATAACCCAAAAAGGCTATGAGAAGAAGCGGACGAGACTCCTGGCGCCGTTCGCCCCCAAGCAGACACAAGGTGAGCACTCCTTCCATCCTCATGATTCTTGACGCCACTAAGACCTAATTTTGCCAAAATTCTTCGTACCCCTGACGAAAGAACGTAACTATATTTCAACGTTGCGAAATTTCCATTTGGCGATCGAACTTTTCCTTAGAGACTGCTGGTGTTTTTTTCAACTACTGAAAATTTCACTGTTTTTTTGCTAAATTAACAGTAATTATCGTGTTATATTCTTGTAAAGCATTGAATTTTTTCAATCAATTTTTCAATCTTGGAATTGAGTTACGTTACTTCGTCGGGGAGACGACAAATTGTGGGTTCATAAACATGTTTGTTGTTATAATCAGTCGATGATACAACCTATACAAAGACATGTCCGTTCAGTTAAATTTTACAAGAGAAGAAAAAACCGAAGAGCAACGATTACCTCCCAGAAATCAATTTTCTGCTTTGAAATGGGGCCTTTTTGAAAGAAAGTTTCTATGAAGTTAGAATGATGAGTTTCAAATTTTTCGAAAAACTCTGCCAGTCTTGTGAAACTGAGCAGAAACAATCCATAAACACTTTTTCAGAAGTTAGTTCATAGAGCAGCACGGATTCCCAAAATTTCAGAATTCAACCAATTTCCCTAACTCAATTAAAAGTCGGTTGGATTTTGAATTTTGAAGTCTCTAGTGCTCCGTTTATCTTTGTTTAGCTCTTGTTCTTGTGTATTAGGGTTAAATTTATGTTATGTGCGGAACATTTATGCATGTTCTTTTAGTTATATTTTCAAGTAATCGCTTTGGTCTCGATAAATTTCCCTGATTTTTATGAGCCTCATCCTCCTAATGGGTCTTAGTTTCTCCGATTCTGAACCAAGATTTGGTATCTGTAAACGAAAATCTCGGTTACTGGATTGAAAACTTGAATGTCGTATATAAATCGAAGTTGAGTCTGCGTAACCGATCTTCTTTTCTCTGCGCTCTGCTTGGATGAAGTTCATTCATCTTAATTTCCCATACTCGATGTATACGCGGTGCGAGAATAAGTTTCTCAACTGGAGTAAAGTTGGAGCATGCAGGATCCAATTAGTCGATCTAGCCGGAGTTTCCGCTTGACGTAAACACTGGTCGCATGCGCTCGACTATGGCAGTTGCGCAATTGGACTCGGCAAGGAATTGATGTCTACCAAGCTCATCGTTTCATCAATCTTGGTGCTCGAGTCCACGCTGCCAATCCGACTTCAACCGGAGAATCCGGGACTCGGAACATTTTTTTCCCGCTCTATCTCAAAAGTTCCGGAAGAAAAATCCGGAGTCTACCTAGAAGCGATTCCGATTTTATGTAATGGGTTCTCTCCGGAAAAAGATCCGGGAAAAATTCCGGAAAATTGAAAAGTTCTGAAATTTGGTGAAGTGAATCAAGACCGGAAGTGAGTGAAAGATAAGAAAGAAGTTTTAGGGAAATACCGGGCTTGGTCCAAATTTATGGCTGAAACGGATTTACTTCGCCGAGAGCCACATTTCAGCTGTTTTATCCCGAATAATCTATTTTGTAAACCCTGAAATTTAGCTGAAAGTGTGCCAACGCGAAATAAACGGAGAAGAAACCTCGTGCGTGGGACTCGAAGTTTAGGTCATATGGATTTCTGAAGTTTTCGGATTGAGCATCTGAACACTTTAGGTCTAGCTGTTGAGGTTCGGATCACACATCTGAAACTTCAGTTCTTACATCTGAATTACTTCGATTCTCACATCCGAAAATCTTCGGTTCTCACATCCGAAAAACGTCGGTTCTCACATCTGAAGTACTTCAGATGTAAGAACTGAAGTTTCAGATGTGTGATCCGAACCTCAACTGCTAGACCTAAAGTGTTCAGATGCTCAATCCGAAAACTTCAGAGATCCATATGACCTAAACTTCGGGTCCTACGCACGAGGTTTTTTTCTCCGTGTAGGCGTATTGGATCCGTTTTCCGCCGAAATTTTGAAGCTAGAGTAACCAAAGTAATTTAGTAGAATTTTTTCGATACAACGATGTCTGCTCACTCCTAATATGGTAGATTCATCGTTTAAGTCCCGGGAGTGGCAGCACTGGAGCTCGAGTCGGCACTGCCGGTACCCGCGCCCGGCGGATCCGGCGCGGAATGCGGGAAATGACGGACGCCGTTGCGCGGTTCCCGGGCGAAAAAGTAATTCATTTACGAGAGCGCCGCCGCGGCTATTGACACTAACTACTCACAGCGGTGCGCCGCGGTATATCCGTACGGTTATTCAAATGAGCGCCCTTGCCGTGCTGCACCCGAAAATGAAGATGTTGTATGTGTGAGGAATTTGCGATTTGACTGTTGATTCTTATGTAAAAGTTCGCGAGAAACACGATGGTGCCACTGGTTTACTCTGAAATCAACTTCCAAGCTCAAAAAAAGCTCTCAAGTTGAGGCCAAAATGGGGGGGGGGGATATCCCACGCTATCCTGAGAGTCCACCTCTACATCAAGACAAACTCTCCATGCAAAGATAGGGAGCAAATACATTAGCATTGATGCCGTGTTCTCGGTTTTAGAGCCCCCAAATAAAGTGGCAGCCCTGTTGCTCCCTATCTTTGCATGGAGAGTTTGTCTTGATGTGAAGGTGGACTCTCAGGATAGCGTGGGATATCCCCTCCATTTTGGCCTCAACTTGAGAGCTTTTTTTGAGCTTGGGAGTTGATTTCAGAGAAAACCAGTGGCACCATCGTGTTTCTCGCGAACTTTTACGTTGGAATCAACAGTCAAATCGCAAATTCCTCACACATGCAACATCTCCATTGGTGAGTTCAACAGCTCCCTTTGGCCTTTCTTCTGAAGCCGTCCTCATATTGAACTACATTTTGCAATTTGGAATCACAAATTCCGGCTCAGTTTAAATACAACGCATGCACTATCAGTTTCCCTATGTACATGAGTATTTTTCCAAATGAGCCAGAAATTGTGGTTTCTAATTGCGAAATGCAGTCCAATTGAAGCACCGCGAATCGAAAGCTGCGATCTCCACTCCGTTGTCGAAACATTGATGTTTTAATTGTTTGAAAGTAACCAATGGACTATTAGGCACGATACGAATTTAAGAATTCTGACACAAAATCGAACGTAATATACAATTTGTGCTACAAAAATTATTGGAATTATCTCCCAACTAAGATTTTTAACGTTTCTATTCCCAGCGTTGGTTAAGAAAAATTTGAATTTCCCGCTTACAGGAAAGTCCTAAGTCTACTTGAGTCAAATCGCGCACTACCATGATTTTGGCAGCCCTCTCAAGTAGGAGTATTCTATTCTCACCCTGTGTTGTTCAAAGTTTAAACAATTTGCAATATTAAAATTCTTTGACGCTATTTGGGTATACAGCGTTATGATTAATGTTAAACACCCAGCAAAAAAGCTGCTTTTGCAAATTCGAGAGTTTGCGCGTCCGGAAAGAACTTTGTTCAGATTCTTTGAAGATGATCAAGTATTTATATACGTCCACGTCTAAATTAATTTCTAAAGCCAGCGATGTTAGGACCAGCATTATCATCAAAGCGAGTCAAAGCGGTTTTCCGCGAATCTTTCGTAACCGCACGGGTTTTTCTACGAATTTATCAGGATGCTATCTGGAACCGAGGGAAACCTCGAAATCGTCAAAACTGTCCATATTTAAACCGATTATGTCCATTTTTTCATAACTTTTAAAATAAAGACGTCCTTACGGGATTTAGTATTCATCCGGAAATTGACCTATGAGGTTTCAAAATCGACCGATGCAGTCACCGACGTCACCGTGATTTCTGCAAATTCAATGAACTCGGTGTTTCTTCAAAGCATATCATCGTTTCCTGGATGAAGGAACGTTAGTTTATTCCAAGGTTGCCAAGTCAACTCCAAAAAGTTCATTTTTTCAAAGAATAGTTCCATGCGTCACTATTAACGTCACATAACGTCACTATTGCGTCACGAGCGGTGAAGAAACATCGAAAAATCTCAGATTTAGCGCACTGGAAAAAAAACACATTGGATCTAGAATCCAGACTCTTAAAAACATGGACAAGAAAAAATACTCTTGATTCAATCAGATTGAAGCTTAAATCAAGAACCAAGGCTCTTAATTTGAGCGGATTTCCTTTTGATTTAAGCTTATATCTGATTGAATCAAGAGTATTTTTTCTTGTCGATGTTTTTAAGAGTCTGGACTCCAGATCCAATGCGTTTTTTCCCCAGTGTTTTTAATGAACTGCCCTTACGTTCTTTCATATGGGTAGCGGTGATATGTTCCGCCTTTTTGAAGCATTTGGTTGGAAAATCATCTTAACCCGATTTTTCAGCGTGCACATAAGGGGTCCTAGACCTCGAATTCATTTTTTTTATTTATTTATTTTTTTCTTTTTATTGTTGCACATGTTGATAGCGGCTCACGGAGGGGTCCCGCGGGGTCCTGCGAGACTGCTCATTGTGAATCGAGGATGGATCACGATAGCAACTCGCAGATCATTCGTGTGCGCTTCTAATGGTCTAATAATAAACGGAATACCACAAGCGGCGCTCCTCCGCCGCACAAGAGAAAACCGTACGGATACCGATCGACCATCATCCTAACGAGACTAAAACTTGAGATCTGACCTTCCTGTTTTCATGTGATACTTCGAGGCAAGCTTTGCTCGGACATAAATCCCCCCCCCCCCCCCCCC